GTTGGATGACTGGCCTCTATTCCCCTTCCCAAAGTTTCCCCTGTTGTCCTTCCTATCTCTAGAATTCCCTTGGTAATTCCCATTAGGCTTGTGTCTCTTTTCACCCCCGTGAAAAGAGTTTGGGTTCTTCCTTTTCTCTCCTACCTGCTCCATCTCTCTCCCCTTAATTCCGTACAGATGGGCTGCACGGCCATAGACTTCATCTAGGGTCTCAAAAGTCACTCCCCCTAGCTTCCCTTGGAGGGTCAAGGTTAGGCCTTGCTCAAATCTCTGACCTTTGATGGTTTCAGTAGGGACTACTTCTGGGGAAAACCTCATCAACTCAATGAACTTGCTATAGTATTCACTTATTGACATGTTTCCCATTCTCAGGTTGGTAAACTCCATGCACTTCTGCTTTCTAAGGTAGGAAGGGTAAAACTTTTCTCTCAAGGCTTCCTTGAACTCATCCCACCCAAAGTTTGGCTTTTTCAACAGCTCACCTTTTCTTTGGGCCCACCATAAATCAGCTTCCTCCCTCAAGTAGTAAATCCCGTTGTTCACCCTAAGTTCACTTGGGCAATTGATAGCATCAAACAGCTTGTCAAACTCCCTAATCTAGTTTTCAAGGCTGGATGGGTCCTCTTTTCCCAAGTAAACAGGTGGTTTAGCTGCAGCTACCCTCTTAAAGACTTCACTATAGGCATCAAGCTCGGGATTTTGGTGTTCCCTTTTCACCACTTTCGTGATGTTCTCAGTAATACGGGTTAACTACTTAAGGACCTTTCCAACTTTGGAACCAGTGCGCTTACTCCTTGATTGATCCCTTATTCTTGGAGACATACTTCCTGGGTTTAATTACCACACTTTGAAAATTTAGACAAGTTTTATCATACAGCATTTAGTTCACTTAACAACATAGAGAAATTTAAAATAATTCATTTTATTTCATTAATAATTAATGAAAATACAACTTTGTCACTTAGGACAATTATTGAAACATGAAACAAAAACATAGTTCAAAAACAATCAAATAACACTATAAGAATAACCATCTTCAATAGGATCATAATCCGGATCATCACTTATATTGCTTGGTTCGGCCATGAGAGTTGGGTTATAACCACTATAGCTTGGAATAAGGCTTGATGAGCTTGACCCAGATTTACTTATATTTCTGTCTGGGGCAGGAGTGTAACTTGGGCTTTTTGTTGGGCTTACATCCCCACAAGGTTGGCTTGAAGAAGCTTTGGGGTTTGGGCTCTTTCTTTTGCAGTTTGAGAACGACTTCTGGGCCTTTTTGCAACATGGAAATGAGCTTTTGGGCTAGGTTGTTTGGAAGATTCATAGCTTGGAGTTTGGCTAAGAGAACGGTAATGCTTGCTCCTACCAAGAGGTGGTATGGACTCATCACTAGATTCCACATACTCATGTCGCTTCTTTGGGTATGAAAAAGGTACTTGGGCATTTAAGAAGTACATCTGGTCATTAGGTCCAAAGGTTCGATCTTTTGGGATTGTGGGAATTTACACATTATTCCTTCTAGGTTCATACTTGCGCTCCACATAGTGCAAGTCCCTCTTAAGGCTAGACATGGTTGCCAACCATTTCCCTTCATGATGATGCTTCTCATTCCACATTCCGTCTTCCTTAATAACATCCCCATTTTTGTCAAATAGAGGTTGGTATTTCTTAATCCTAGGTAAATGGGCCAAAGCCGAAAGGACCATCCAAGGTTGTTGGGTCAAGACTTCCTCACCATCCTTCTCATAAAGGGTCAAGGCCAAAGTAAAAATTCCAGTCATGAACTCAATAACTGAGACTCCACTATCTTTCAAGTAATGAATGTCAAAATATAGATGTCTCATTTGATCAATCTTTTCCATCTGTTTCACACACACATGCAAAACAATTAATTAAATGCCAAATCACACAAACAATCCAATTCGAAATCCATTTGCAATAAACAATTCATAACTCAATGAACTAAGTGTAACTCAAAATCAACCAACCATGGCTAATACTCTAAAATTTCGGACCCCCTATACTCACTTCAAGGTGTTTTAGCACCAACTTTAATGCACACATAATTGTATACTCAAGTTTTAAATAATTCAATTCTTTTTATTTTCGAAAATAATAAATATGTACTTGAATCAAGATTAAAGGACGGTCGAGCCCGCATTTCCCAGGAAAGTTACCTACGACGTTGAGGCGAGCCTTTCCTAGACAGAGAGTCGTACCCATTATAGGCCTCCGTAGAGAACTCAATCCAAAATCTTTCCACAAATAAGAAAATAGTTGTTTTTTAAAGTAAAAATAAGGCTTTTGACTCACACACAAATGCGAAACTCTTTCTATCCTATATGCCCTCTTAAGTCTACCCACAATTTTAATTACTATTCCAATTTTAATCTTTTTAGGACCTTGAAATCTGATACCACTTTGTGAAAATCTAATATCACTTTGTGAAAATCTGATACCACTTTGTAACACCACCAATTCTCCCTCTACGGAAATACCAATATAATATGTATAATTATACCGTAGAGATAGACTTAGGCGTATTACCGCCGCGTGATTATGCAAGGCTACTCAACTTACTAAACAAAACAATACTTTGCAGCGGAAACTTCAAAACACTTCTTATTAATAATAACTATAAATAGAAACCAATGTCATGAGTACTCAAATTAAATACAAAGACCAAGATTCCTAAATAAGTGAAACTAAATCCCGGGACTCCAATGCATCACTTTATTCACTTCACCTGAAATAACACTGCTTACCATTAAACTCAATTTATTTGCAAACATGCTTGTAAAACCAATTTCCAATAATTCTAAACTCATGGTTTAAAACCAATTCTCAATATTCCAATAACCAATAAAACCAATGTCAATTATTTAAAACCATTTCCTCATATTAAAACCCAGTTCCTCATAATAAACCAATTAAACCAATTAAACCAATTCCTCTCCTAAGTGTGCACACCCCAAAGCTAGTCTCCTTATGTTACAAGGCTATTCTTGAGGAAAGACCCGGTCATACAAAGTTCAAGGCCTTATCAATAAACCAAATCCGCATAGTGGGATCAGAAACATGCTTATAAAGCATAATAATAAATCAATGATTCAATAAATCCTCTTTTAAATCCAATAATTCAACCTTTAATGAAAACAATCCAAACTCCTTTCAATAAATCCAACTTGCTTTCAAAATCAATCCTTTTTAAACATGAATAATAAATTAATTAATTAAAACATGTTATAAAAATAAATACTCCAATTCAATTATTAAAACCAACCTTTTAAACATACTTTTATTTCATAAACTATAATTCAAGTCAATTTAATTCAAGCAACATAAATCATTCAAACATTTTCATTCAAATCGATCACTTTCAAGGTATCTAGTCACCTAACGTACCTTGATCCTTGCTTAGCCAAAAATTACTTCAAAAGAACTCTCAAGTAGCTTGATCAAAAACACCCTACAAATAAATATAACCTTAATTAATATAAGGTTATCAAATAATCACAAACAATTAAATTAAACCCTCCCAACTATATGTACATGAACCTTTTAAATTAATTCCACATAACACCATTAAAATCTGATCTTATATAATTAAAACTTCTCATAATAATTTTATATTAAACTCCCATAATAATAATAATAATTGAATAAGAGAAAAGGAGAAGAAAGATAAGAAACCAAGAAGAAAGAAGAATTAGATTTTCGTTGGAAAAAGTAGGCAGAACTTGCAGAGGCTATAACTCCTTCGTTATAACTTCGAATTGGGTGATTTTTGATCCTAACCTTAAGGAGTTTTCGAGAGGAACAGTTTTTTGTGAAACGTCAATACCCCAAAACTGACCTGAAGTTCTCGAAAACTGGGTTCAAAGATAAACGAGATAATTTGTGTAAAATTGAGGAGAAGAAAAGAAGAGAATTGGTGTGAAGAATGTGAGAGGTATGAAGGGGTATTTATAGGCTAGCTCATGCAAGAATTATGGTAGGAAAATATTGGAAGAATTATGGTAAGTAGGGTTTAAGGGATTACTTAGAGAAGTGACTAAAGATTTAAGGAAAGTTTTAATATTGAAGAGATTGTGTATACTTGAATATGGAAGGTATGTATGTCATGAAAAATATTAAGGAAATTGGAATTACTTGGGGAATAATTAAGAAGAATGAATGGCAAGAAAATATAATGATTGGATATTAAAAAGATGGAGAATTAGAACTAAGGAAAATAGGAGATTTTAAGGAGAAAATTAAAAATACAAATTACCAAAATATTTTTCCCAAAATCTACATGGGATGGCAGAAATTTTTGAGCTTTCCCAAGCTCATATTTTCAGCCCTCCTATTTAGTACTTAGGAAATTATTTTGCTAGTTTTAAGGAATTAAAATAATTGTGTAAATAATATTTATTGTATAAAATAATTAAATGATAAAATATCAAATATTCACCAAATAATTTAACTAATAAAATCAGATCTTCACATAGGAAAATCCGAAATTTATTAGTTAAATATATGGGATTTTAGGAATTATTAAAATAATAATAAAATATAGCTTTTGCCTTAATTAAAATATCTGAAATATCTAAATAATCCGGTTTTTAAAATAGGATAAATGGATAATAAATCTTATCCAAAATAATAATTTGTTTTTAAAATACTTTTGGCGCCAAAATTCAAATATCATTTTGGCTCCATGATTTAAATAGTAATTTGAATTACTAAAATACCCTTTTTAGAAAATAATAATTAATTAGGAAAATACGTATGAAAATACGGGGTATTACAGTCTACCCGAAACTTAGCCAAAAGAAACGAAAATTATTTTGAAATTATTGGTTCATGCACATCCTAACTTGACTCAAGACTCCAACTAAACTTAAATAAGACTCGAAATCACTCAAAAATGACTCGAAAAATAGACGCGCGAAACTCTATCGCCCTCTACCCCCCTTAAAAGGAGTTACGCCCCCGTAACTCGACCACTGACCTTAGGCAAACAACTCTGGGTAGCGTTTCCTCATATCAGCCTCAACTTCCCATTTAGCCTCTTCAGTTTTCTGATTTGACCACAACACTTTCACAATGCTCACTTCCTTGTTCCTTGTGCTCCTGACCTTAGAGTCAAGAATCTTTACTGGTCTTTCCTCATAAGTCAAATTCTCATCCATCTCAATGGTTTCTGGTTGTAACACATGTGTCACATCAGGAATATACTTTCGGATTTGGCTCACATGGAACACATTGTGAACGCTTTCTAGCTCACTATGCAAATCCTACTTATAAGCCACTTTCCCCACTTTCTGAATGATCTCATATGGCCCTATGTACTTTGGGCTTAACTTTCCCTTCTTTCCAAACCTCATCACCCCTTTCATGGGTGAAATTTTTAACAAAACCTTTTCTCCTACTTCGTACTCCTCTTCCCTCCTTTTCAGATCTGCATAACTCTTCTGTCGATCTTAGGCCGTTTTAATCTTTTCTTGGATTAACTTAACCTGCTTCACCATATCCTCAATCATCTCTGGTCCAAGAACCATAGTCTCACTTATATCATTCCAACACACTAGGCTTCTACACTTCCGACCATACAATGCTTCAAACGGTGCCATTCTATTGCTTCCATGGTAACTGTTGTTGTAAGAGAATTCTATCAAATCCAGGTGGTCTTCCCAAGACCCTTGATACTCCATCACACAAGCTCTCAACATGTCCTCCTATGTCTGAATTGTTCTTTCCATTTGACCATCTGTCGCTGGGTGAAATGATGTGCTCATTAACAACTTAATTCCCATTGCCTTTTGCAAACTTTGCCAAAAGTTAGACACAAATCTTGAATCTCTATCCGAAATGATATCCGTGGGTACCCCATGTTACTTCACCACAAACTTCACATATGCTCTTCCCAACTGATCCATGGTCCAAGTACTTCTCATGGGTATGAACGCTGTTGACTTCGTCAACCTGTCCACTATTACCTAAATAGTGTCATTCCCTGCCTTGGTCTTTGGCAAGGCTCCCACAAAATCCATAGAAATCGAATCCCATTTCCACTTGGGCACCTCCAAGGATTGGACCTTTCCTTGAGGTTTACGATGCTTATTCTTCACCTTTTGGCATGTCAAACACTTAGCCACAAATTCAGCCACTTCTCTCTTCATATTGGGCCACCAAAAAGTCTTCTTCATGTCCTTATACAACTTATCCCCTCCAGGATGCATTGAATAAGGAAAGTTATGGGCTTCTTCCACCAATCGTCGTTTCAGATCATCACGATTCTTCGGTACACACCATTTTCCCTTAAATCGAATACTTCCCTCATCACCAATGGTGAAATCCAACACTTCTCCTTCATCAATCTTCTTCTTTATTGTCTTTAACTTCTCATCTTCCAATTGGCTTTCCCTTATCTCATCATAAATGGATGGTTGAACCACCAAGGCACTCAACATCCTAGCCACTTCACCATGCCCCACTACCTCAAAGTTTAACTTCTGAAATTCCACACACAACTGATCTGGTACTACCATCTCATTCACCGTATGCTCTGACTTTCTGCTTAATGCATCTGCCACCACATTAGCCTTTCCCTCATGATACTGAATATCCAATTTATAATCACTCATATACTCCAACCATCGTCTCTACCTCCCATTCAAGTGCGTCTGGGTGAAAATGTACTTCAAACTCTTATGGTCCGTGAAAATCCTATAAGTCACCCCATATAAGTTATGTCTCCAAACCTTCAAGGAAAACATTATTGCAGCTAACTCTAAATCGTGGGTTGGGTAATTCCCTTCGTGAACCTTCAACTGCCTCGAGGCATAGGCAATCACTCTTCGATTTTGCATCAACACACATCCCAATCCCAACTTCGATGCATCACTGTACACGTCATATGGATCACTTCCATCCGGCAAAGCAAGCACATGTGTTGTGGTTAACCTTTCTTTCAAGATCTTAAATGCCTCCTCACACTCTTGGGTCCATGAGAACTTATGCTCCTTTTTCATCAAACTTGTCATGGGCTTCGCGATCCTTGAAAAATCCTTCACAAACCTTCTGTAATAGCCTGCTAAACCCAAGAAACTCCTTACATCCGATAAATTCTTTGGGGTTGGCCAATCACTCACAACTCGAATCTTGCTTGGGTCCACTGCAACTCCGTCCTTGGAAATCACATGGCCCAAAAATACTACTTCCTCCAACCAAAACTCACACTTAGACAACTTGGCATACAACTGATGCCCCCTCAAACATGACAACACTTGTCTCAAATGCTCCTTATGTTCTTCTTCATCCTTTGAATCTATAATTCTTCTAAAAGCCCCAAGCACCAAGGCTGTAGCAATTTTACTGTTCCTTATAAACAGGAGATTGACGGTTTTGCCCTCCCATGCCCCTAGCACCCTTCCCTGATTGACCAGGTTGACTGGGCTATTTCGGTCTTCTCGCTTTGACATTCCATGTGCTCTCAGCGGGCTGACGCGTGGCTATTTACTTATTTTTTTCGGTTTTCTTTCGTCGTCCTCTGTGCCCCATTATTTCTCTTGCCTGTTTTCTCATTTTTTTCCCCCCAATCTTCTTCCTCAAATCGCCAAAAATGGCATCAAATACTGTCCCCTTTCCCTCAGCCATTGAAGCGGTTACTCAAGTAAGCATTTTTTTTCCTTTTTTTTTATTGTTGTGATTATCGAATACCAATTTCTCAATCTAAGGTAAATTATGAATATAATTGTCAGTTGGGCTCCATGATCGAAGTTTTGGAGGAAGACAAGAATATCGACTACAATAACTTCAGTGATAGAAATACGATTGAAGGATTTTTCGCAGGATAATTGTCAACCATTCATGTTCGATTTCTTTTGTAGCGCTTGAAAAGCTAACCCGGATGCTTCAAGAGGTTTGTGAGCTAATTTTTATTCAAACTCTTAAAAATCATTGTTTCTTTTGGAACTGGTTTTTAATTTGTGCGTGTTTTCGTATTTAATTGCTACTTTTTGTGCTAATTTTTGTAGTACTTTGTTTAATTCTCAATTTTTGTTAGTTTTAGGGTTTTTAGATTCCAATATATGTTCTGGATCAAATTTTGAGGCCAGATTCAATCTTGGGCTTTTAAGTACAGTTTTGGCTCATGTGTTTAGATGAATTTAGCTAAGTTCAATTCACAGACCTTAGCAAATTTCGGGTGAAAAGAACAATCCTGTGATTGGTGTGTCTTTAATCATGATTGAAATTGATTTTTTAGGGCGTTTTAATCAGCTACATGCTCATGGTATTCTTTTATCCAAATTCATAATATCTACATATAGCTTTGATGGATTCTGGAGATGATAGTGATATCCCAATCTGGCCCAAGAAGGGGATATCTAAGACTACTAGATAAACAAAAGAAAGCCTTATCAAGGAAGTTAAACTTGTGTCATTTTTATGTGGCTGTTCGGTGCATCCATTGCTTCTCTCCTCTTCCATCTCTGTTTAGTCTTACACGAAGAATTTGTGATCTACATTTTGTAGGCTAATTATACCTCTTATTTCCATGATTTTATTCATGCTTTTTTACATTGCCTTATTATTATCAGCAGGTCATTTTTTGCTAACACATCTGCTGTTGGACACAATGAATAACTGTACTCGAAAGCAATGAAGAGGGGAGGATTGTTGATATTGCATCAGAAGGCCATTGATTCACATATCGTGAAGGAATCCTTTTTGATGAACTGAACAATCCATTAAGGTAAATTTAACATTATTACTTTTTTTTTGGGCGAACATATGTGCATAGTTAACAGTTGTAACTTTGCATTGATTGCACTCATCCACTAATCAGTATTATGCAGGTACTCCAGATTTGCTGCATATTGTCAATCAAAACTTGCTACAATCTTGCATACCAGAGAGCTAGCAAAACAACTTAAGGTAACACATACGATGTTGATTGATTTTGTAAGAAAATGACATTAGCCCTCTGATCATGTACTGCTCTGCAGCTTTCAGAATACAACATCAATTATTCTAATGAAAATCCCTTTGTTGATCAGGATGATGGGGTTGATATAACAGTTAATGTAGTTCATCCTGGATGTATTTATGCAATTATATCAAGAAGCAGATTATTAGATGGTATCCTTCACTTTTTATTGCAAATTGTTGTATATCTAATATCTATCCTTAGCCTACTCTTATATATGTTACAATTTTTTTTTTTGGGACGGAGTTATTGTTTAATTGTGCATTAATTGGATGTGACAGCTCTTTACAAGCTTTTGAGACCTATTAATTATTTTTTCTTGAAAGATATTCCACAAGTAAGTGTCTTGAAACACACATGATCAAACTTTACAATGTTTAATCCTTTACCGGTTACTCAAGTAAACATTTTTTTTTCCTTTTTTATTGTTGTAATTATCGAATAACAATTATTCAATCTAAAGTTCATCATAAAAATAATTGTCAGTTGGGCTTCTAAATTTGCTTTCTTTTCACCTTCTCCGGGTGATGAATTTGAATCGTTTAAGGAACTCAAATTCAACTTGATTTTGTGGGATTTTTGAGAATTGGGGTAATTTAATTTTTCAATCGACTGGTAGCGACTTTAGGGTTTAGTTTTGCCTCAATTGGTAATTGCTTTTCTCTTTTCTCTTCCTTTTAAACAGCTCCTGAGCTGAAGATGTTTTCTTTTGTGATCATCGAATATCAACTTCACAATCTAGGTACTCCTGAAGAAAATCAAAAACTCCATTCAGTATGGTGTTGCAAGAGAGGGAGATTCGGGGTATGGGGTTCATCAGTTTGTCTCACGTTGCCGTTAACATGACCACCGCTGACGATGATGTCGTTGTCCAGGTTCTACTATTCTTCTTGATTGTTTGTTCATATTTATCAATTTGCTTTTGGATAACTCGTAATTAAGTGTTTTCAAAAATTTTATAATTCAACTATTCATGAGAAATGTGACAGACTGTTAAAAATTGGAAAATTACCAAATATTTTAGCACAAACAATTCTGAAAATCTTAGACAATCAGGTGATTGCTACTTTTTGTAATTTTTTTTTTTATACTCACCCTTCCTTATCATTTCCAAAAAATTGACAAGGAAAATTTGCTATCAACATTACCTGATTTTGTTTATTCTTATGCTTTTTAGGTTGTTAACTGCAAGATGTGGCCGTTGATTTCACAATACAGAGCATCAGCAAGGATTTCCTGGTGTTAGACCACTAATATTTCTTCACCATTTCCTATTCCAGGTTTCCTTTCCCCCAATCAGCGGGTTCTCTTTTCGAGGTAAGTTGATGCTTTCATTCTTTATTGTTTTCTTATGTGATCGATTATTTTTAAAGTGTATTATTAGTTTGATTATGTATTGATTTGATTGCATTGGTCATAGGCTTTATTGACACAACTTGATAAGAAGCCCAAGGATACCATAAAAAGTACTTTCCAAAAAGAGGAGGGACACATAGGATTAACTTTGTATATTTTGTAAAAACATGAGAGAGAGAGAGATTAAACCATTTTTAAAGTGTGAAAATTTTTAGACTATTTTTAAAGTGTAAAAAAATTTTATATTATGCTTTGTTATGATTTGTTTTATGGAAACCTAGATTACTAAGGGTGGGAGAGGGGGAGGGATGAGGAGAAGAAAGAAGGGAGAGAGAAGGAAGGAGGGGGAAGGGAGGGGGGAGAGAGGGAGGGGGAGGGAGAGGAAGGGAGAGAGAGGGAGGGGGAAGGAGGGAAGGAGAGGGAGAGTTCAAACCATTTTTAGAGTGTAAAAAAATTATAGATTATGATTTGTTTTATGGAAACCTAGATTACTAAGCGTGGGTAATAGTAATACAGACTCCCTCTAAACTTGGATTATACAAATGAGAATAGATGCCTGGTCTAAATTGACCACTATGCATATACTATTATTATAATGTGTATGTTTGGTAAAGGTTGATTGTGTAGTTGGAAATTCCATTCATGAATAGTGTCATTTGTGGAACTTTACCCACTGAATTAGGAAGGCAATGTGGATGAGCAGTGGTCGAGTACGGTCTAAGTGATCAAGTCCAAGAGAGAGAGAGAGAGAGAGAGAGAGAGAGAGAGAGATAGAGAGAGAGATGTCCGAACCATTTTAATTAGTAAAATGTTCAGTTTCAGTAAATACCACTCGTCCCCATTGTTAATGAGATCAGAGACCATCACGGGCATGTTATCAGTTTGTTAAATGGATGATATGATGTGATACCCTGGTAGTGTTGGAACCCACGAGTCTTTTGCCCAAATCAATAGAATGACCCTTACCCACTAAATTATGTCTAGATTGATTGTATATGGGTTGTTAATTGTGTCAGGGCACCAAATTAATAGTTCTGGTTTAGCTTTTGGATTTCTTATAATAACTGCCATTTTTTTTAGTGAAGAACTGAAGGTAACCATTTTTTTTTGTTTTTCCATCTTTTTGTTCATTTGATGATGCAATTTGAACTACTTTCATACTTGAGCCTCGTTTTTGTTATCTATCAGCTCATCTTCTTTCTTTCAATTTTCATGCATGAATTTTGATGTTCGATTATTGATATTATTTTTGAATTTTGTCAATTGATCGTGCAAAAAGGATGACGGAGTTAGAGAGGATGGTCTACCTCTATCGAAAAATTAAGCTAATTTTTTCTCTAAATCCTTCTTTTATTTTCATAATTTCGTTGTAATTTTTCAATTGCTTTGAAATTGTGTTTGTTAATTTTTCTTATGGATCTGGATTTCTCTTTGCTACATTGTTAATGTTGAATTTTGTGTAAGGTTTCTGTTAATCAAGCTATTTAATGACCATTTGAAGGTTTTTCTTTAGTTGCTGCTTTTAAAAATTTACAGTGTTTATACTGATTATCTAAGTGTTTTAGCTATCAATGATCTCTCTCTATTTTCATGAGTATATGGGGTGATAATAGTATTAGGCATTCAATACTCTTGCCCAAAAGATGACTTTGCCTTCAAAACTCAAGCATTGTGTTTTATATTAGTAGTTGAATAGTTTCAAATCAATTTAATGATATTGTTTACAACCATAAAAAGATAATTAGATATAAAAATTGACACTGATCTTTGAGGGAAAATAGTACTTATGTGGTTATGTCTAATTGTTAATGAAGGAAACGATGAAGATGAGATGTTCTTTGGTAAGATTGTGTGTATAGAGTGAAATTTTTTATTTTATAAACCCAAGTACGTATGGAATATATGAATTGAAATTGCAGTAAGAGTGCATCTAAATATTAATCAACTTGAACCTCTTTTTGGGACCAATTTTCGTGTCTTTCACGAAGAATTTGGATTATGATTTTGATGGTTGCTCTTCATGTGAGTAAACTAAAGAATAACTTGACAAAATCAGTTAGAACCAAGTTGTTTTAATTTGAGTAAATAACGTCTTAATTGAGAGGTTGACATCAAAATACGTACCTTGTTTAGTGAGGTGAATGGAATAAATACTATATTTACTTGATATGTATTGGTCCCTCATTGATGTGGTATTGTTGATTTTAAAAAGCAGGTTCACGCAAGGGAGCCCATACTCGATCTTCAAAATGTGAAATATCAGCTTGGTGGATCCTTACTTTCTTAGGGCTTAATTGTTTGTATTTAACATGCAGAGGTAGATTTGATTGTTGTCCTTGGAACCTAATGAATTTGTTTTTGGTCAATTTTAGTTATTGTTGTTAAATACTTGTATGAAGTATAGCTTGCTATTACACTGTTACAATAGAGTTCCACTCATTATTTTCTGATTAAGAATAAATTTTTTCTTATAAAATACTTCGTATTGGGTTATTTATTTGTTGGATTTTTTTTTTTATTTTTTTTAACTCTGATTTTCCACTTGACTCCCATCCATCTTCACTATGTCTGAATTAAATAAACTCATTTATATTCTCATTTTTCTAGCAAAAAAATCAATCAAATTCAACAGCTAGGTTTTATTTGTATACTATGTCGTTAACTCTTGTCTTTTTTATTGTTGCTTAATGCATAATCATATGATAGACCATTTATACACTTAGGGATGTCAATGGGGCAGGGCAGGGCAGATGTTGATCTTCCCATCCCCACCCCACCTAACATTTTTATCTTATCCCCGCAGCAGGTCCAAAATTCATCCTCATCCCCGCTGCGGCGGGTACAATTCCAAAATCATCCCCGCCCCACCCCCACTTAGATATATATCCTCAACTAATTCCCACGAAAGACCCATTTAATCCCCATCCAAGACCCACCTAATCTTCGCCTCTCAAATATACAAATAACACAATCCGACATAATTAATATATATTACAATTTTTTTTTTAAAAAAAATCAATTTTAATATGACACACTTTTTTGTTTATAATATAAGTGTATTATAAAGTATTATAATTAATATTTTATTTTACATAATTATTTTATAAAATAGTATAAAAGTATACTATTTTGTTTTAAAATATATAGATAGAAGTGGGTATGAGGTGGGGGTGGAACGGGTACGAAGTGTGTGCGGGGGTATAATGAAAATGACAAGCACCCCTGTCCTATCTCCCATGGCGGGTATGATTATTATCCCTATCCTCGCCCAATCACCCCGCCAAATCGAGACTCATTATTCACGGGTGGGGGGGATGGGGTGAGTCTCCTACTTGAGCCGCCCCACTGACATCCTTATTTATATTGCGTAGTTGAGGATGAAATAAAAAGTGCATTATTAAAGACTTAATTTACACAACTATAGACGATTGAGAGAAAGCTATAGAATGAAAAGGAAGGAGTAGAGGAAAGCAAGTAGAAATTGATCTCATAAAATTTTCAAAAATATAAAAGACAAAACACAAGGGAAAGGCCAAAAGGGAGAGAGAGATGAGGATGCGAGACAAAGATAGTAGGAAGAGAGCAGAGGGCAATTTCTAGGGACTACATGAAAGCATAAGATGATAATATAAGTAAGAAGAGACTTTCTCTAATATTATTAGGTTGAGACAATCAAATTGATCAAAATTGAAATGATTTGAGAGCTGGTTGGACGAGGCTCATTATAGATGAAGAAAACATCAAGTAGGAAAAGAACATCTAGGTTAGATTTAATCATAAAAGACAAGAACGAAGATAGAAAATAGATTGAGCTGAAAGGAGCCGAAGGGAAAGGGGGCGAGGGAGAGAGAGAAGGGGGGAAGGAGGGCTATAGAGTGAGATGCGTTGAGAGATAGAGGGAATGAGAGAGAAAGAGGGGAGAGGGAGAGGGAGGGGGAGAGGGAGGGGGAAAGGAAAATATGATAATGAGATGTGTTGAGAGAAAGAAGTTTGGTAAGAAAAGACCAAGAAAGAGAGAAGGAATTGAGAGAGAGAAAAAGGGTCAAGAGAGAGAAAAGAACTAAGGGAGAGAGATGGCAAGTTATAAGAGGAGATATCATGATAGGAAGGAGAGAGAAGGAAAAAAGAGAGGTCGGGGATTACAATTGATAATTAATTTATTTATGATTTGGAGGAGATATATAATGTAAGCATAGAGTGGTTTAATACAGGATGTATGTATTAAGTTGTATGTGATAGAGGTTTTATAGTTGTTGTTCTTATATGAGAGTAATTTTTGTAACAAAATGGTTTTATCACATAGATATGTATAAAGCATAGTCTATTTGATTATAAATTGACTTTTTTTTTTGTAGTTTTAAAGGAAAGTTTGCTTAAGGTGAGATATCTAATGAATTTTTTTTTGGTAAAAAACTATTATATAAAATTAGTGTGGTAAATTAAGGTGAACTAACAATGGTTGTTATTTTTGCATAAAATATTAGGGAGAATACAAGATAATGAAGAGGGAAGAAATTAAGAATGAAGAGAACTTTAGGAAGTGTGAGAAAGAGAAAAGGTGGAAGTAGGAGCAAATAAGAATTGACTTTATAATATTAGCAAAATTCATAATTAAAAGAAAGAATGATAAAAAAAAATTAAAACGATTTCATAGGATTTTTTTTAAAATAATATTGAACTACGAAAAATACATTATTAAAGTATAGTTTATTTCACAAAAACAATATGACATGCAAATAGACAATTAAATATTGTGTAAACTATACAAAATCATAAAGATGATGGAAAATGAATAAATGATTAAACTAATTATGAATGAGTTTTAACCACATATTAGATTTATGTCACATGTATACATGTATTATGATTAGAATGACTCATCATCTTTATTCTTATAAGGATAAATGAGCTTATTCTTTGTTAGTATGTATAAATTTATAAAATTTTACTGGACTTCAAATTTTACCTATATGTCAGGAATAATATCCTTTGTTATATTTTACTCAATTGAAAATATAAATACAAGATATTATAAACAAGAATATACTCTAAATTTAATAATGCTATCACCCATATCACAAGAAAATATTTTTAAGAGTCATTATTTAATTTTGATGAGAAGATTTTGGCTTAGACATATAGTGTTTTTTTTTTATATGAAATAGTTCTTTTAATATAACAATACAAAAATTATTTAGTAATCCTTCTAAAGTTCCCTTCTCCAGACAACTAAATATAGAGAGGGGTCGAGAGAAAGAATTAAACCAAGAAAGATAAAGGGGCGAAAAGTGAGGTCGGGTGAGTGATAAAGAGCAATCCAGAAAAGAGAGAGAGAGAGGACATTCCAGAAGAGGAGAGGGTTCTAAAGAAAGAAATAAAGGCTGGGAGAAAGAGAGCTAGAGAAAAAGGCCCCAAAGGATCAGAGAGGAGTCTGGAGAAGAGAAATAAAGAGAGTAAAAAGGGTTGGGAGAAAAAGTGAATGAGAGATAGAAAAAGAGCCTATGTGAGAAAGAGAGAGAGATATATAAGGGTCAAAATAGAAAGATATACAATAATAAGAAAAAAAATCCATGTCAAGAGATAGAAAGATAGAGTGATAAAGAGAGAGATAGGTCAGGGGAGAAAGAAAAAGGGGAGGTCGGTAGAAAAGAGGGAGATAAAGAGAAATCGAGAGATATAAAGGGGGGAGGGGGGAATAAGCTAAGGGAAGAAGGATAAAGTGCTATATATGATTTTCAAAGGCTTTTAGAGGATGGAATAAGGACAAGAAAGATTAGGAAAAAAAGAGAGTAAGAGAAAGAGTATAAGCCAATAAAAGAAGGAATGTTTGATAAGGAAGCAAATTAAATGCAACCTGTAATTTTAAATGCCGTTAAAAAAAATAGGGAGAAAAAGAAAACAATCCTCTAATCACCTTGATCGTACCACCCAATTTGTCAATCCTCCAATCGCCCTGATCGCAACACCCAGTTTGCAATCCTCCAATCGCCATGATCGAAAGAATTTGATACTTGACTCCGAAAAATATTTCATATGACAACTCACAATTATCAACCACTAATGCTTAGATAAATAAGTCATAAAATCCTTTCACCCTATTAAATTTGTTAGCTTCAACATAGCTCAACCTGCTATATAAATAAATAGTCTATGACATTCAACATTAATCAATCAATTTTAGTCACAGTCACCATTAATATTCCTATTGACTATTTCATTGACAATTTACCAACCAAGGTAGGTATAATATTAAGTGAATGTTAACTTGAAGTGTAACTGCTACATGGACATTGAAACACCAATAAATTTGTTGCATAGAAAGAAATCAGATTCATTCAATTCAGCCAACACACCTCAATATAACATGTTTCCAAACAAGACTCATTGTTCAAAATATATAGACAATGAAGACTCTTTCTACATAACTATGATTTATAACCGTATAAGTTACTAAATCAAATTGTTTAGAGAAATTGGATATATTATTAACATGTTGAATACCACTCACATTATCAAGAATTACACGTTTGATGATTTTTCAAAAACACTTATAAATACACATAAATTTATTACAATAAACCGATAAAATTATGATTAACATAAAACATAAGCTAATTGAATGATAATAACCAATTAGAGATTGTCAAATTAGGGGACTGCATGCGATTATTTATGATGATGCAAAAGACATTATTGTGTAAGCATATAGCTTTTATCTTTTCAACATTTGATGCCCCAAGTGATTTATTTTAATTCGTTTGACACAAAGTTCTTAAATTCAATTCTAATTCATAATAATTATTTTAATTCGTTCAAAGCAAAGTTCTTAAATTCGATTCTATTTCATAATAACTGTTTTGGGCACCAAAATATTTAATAGCCCATTAAATTTTGAATAAACAATTTCACAATAACTTCTACTACTTTTGATTTTTGAAATCATGAGTAATTTATTATTTTTCTAATTACACACACGTACATTACATCAATTCATTAGCAAAATAATCCATTATATCAAATTTCGTCTTTGTTTAACGGTAACAGATACCTTACTCCGTTACCAAGACAACATTAGAAATAACCTACACATACAACAACGACTAATTACACATTAATCACTGAGCATGGATCACCAAATAAGGGGACCGCGCGCGTAGCGCGCGGGCCAACAACTAGTAGGCCAAAATATCATCAATAAACACTACCACAAACTTGTCCAGGTATGGCCTGAAAATCCTATGCATCAAATCCATGAACACTGCAGGTGCATTGGTCAAACCAAATGGCATCACTGTGAACTCATAATGACCATAACGGGTCCTGAAAGCACTCTTTGCAATATCTTGCTCCGCAATTCTCAATTGGTGATAACCCGATCTGAAATCTATCTTTAAGAAGACCCTTGCTCCCTTCAACTGGTCAAACAAATCATCGATCCTTGGTAATGGATACTTATTCTTCACTGTCACCTTATCCAACTCTCGATAATCTATACACAACCTCATGCTTCCATCTTTCTTCTTCACAAACAATACTGGAGCTCCCCAAGGTGATGAACTAGGCCTAATATAACCTTTCTCCAACAAATCATCTAACTGGGTCTTCAACTCCCTCAAATCAGCTGGAGTCATCCTATATGGAGCCTTAGAAATAGGTCCAGTTCCAGGCACTAGGTCGATAGTGAACTCAACATCCCTTACTGGTGGCATACCAGGAATCTCATCCGGAAACACATCTGGAAACTCTTCTACAATAGGAATACCCTCTTCACCTTTCTTTTCCTCACTTTCAACCTCTTGAACACTACACAAAAAAAAAGGACAACCCTTCTTAACCAACTTCTGTAGTTGCATTGCAGACACAATTCTTAACCCTGAGCTTTTCCCTTCCTTTTATACACCACTTTGGTCTTACTTGGGCTAGTCAAGGTGACCTTTTCAGCCGCACAATCAATTTTTTCTTTATACTTTCCCAACCAATCCATACCCAGAGTCACATCAAAGTCATTTAAGTCAAACTTGATTAAATCGGCTAGAAACTCTACCCCAGAGATGGAAATAGGCACATTAAAAAACAATCTTGAACAACTCCTCACTTTTCCAGATGGAATAGACACATCTAGAGAAACTGACTCACGACTCTCTAACCTGAGACTCCCAACTACTTCCTTAGAAATAAAAGAATGTGACGCCCCTGAATCAAACAAGACTTTCACAGGAAAAGAACTTATAAAGAAAACACCAATTACCACATCATTAGCAGACTTAGCCTGACGGCTATTCATCACGAACACAGGACCCTTTGGGGCACTTTCCGCACCGCTACTGGTTCCGGCCTTGGATGTATGTCCACTAGACTAAGGTGGTTTACTAGGTGCACTAGACTCTTTCACCTTCCTAGACTTAAAATCAGCTTCCTTCTTGAAACACTCGTACTCACGTTGTCCCAACTTCTGACAGTAATGACAAGTTACCGGGTTTCCCTCACAGTCCTTCCCTGGGTGATCTTTCTCACACCTCTTGCAGAAATAACTCCTCTTGGGTTTCTCACCCCTTTGGTTTCCATTCCCCTTATGGTTGGACGACTGGCCTCCATTCCCCTTCCCAAAGATTCCCTTGTTGTCCTTCCTGTCTTCAGAATTCCCTTGGTAATTTCCATTAGGCTTGTGTCTCTTTTCATCCGTGAAAAAAGTTCGAGTTCTTCCTTTTCTCTCCTACCTGCTCCATCTCTCTCCCCTTAATTCCGTATAGATGGGCTGCACGGCCATAGACTTCATCTAGGGTCTCAAAAGTCACTCCCCCTAGCTTCCCTTGGAGGGTCAAGGTTAGGCCTTGCTCAAATCTTTAAGCTTTGATGGTTTCAGTAGGGACTACTTCTGGGGCAAACCTCATCAACTCAATGAACTTGCTGTAGTATTCACTTATTGACATGTTTCCCATTCTCAGGTTGGTAAACTCCATGCACTTCTCCTTTCTAAGGTAGGAAGGGTAAAAATTTTCTCTCAAGTCTTCCTTGAACTCATCCCACCCAAAGTTTGGCTTTTTCAACAGCTCACCTTTTCTTTGGGCCCAACATAAATCAGCTTCATCCCTCAAGTAGTAAACCCCATTGTTTACCCTAAGTTCACTTGGGCAATTGATAGCATCAAACAGCTTGTCAAACTCCCTTATTCAGTTTTCTAGGCTGGTTGGGTCCTCTCTTCCCAAGTAAACATGTGATTTAGCTGCAGCTACCCTCTTAAAGACTTCACTATAGGCATCAAGCTCGGGATTTCGGTGTTCCCTTTTCACCACTTTCGTGATGTTCTCAGTAATACGGGTTAACTGCTTAAGGACCTTTCCAACTTTGGAACTAGTGCGCTTACTCCTTGATTGATCCCTCATTCTTGGAGACATACTTCCTGGGTTTAATTACCACACTTTGAAAATTAAGACAAGTTTTATCATACAACATTTAATTCACTTAACAACATAGAGAAATTTAAAATAATTCATTTTATTTCATTAATAATTAATGAAAATACAACTTTGTCACTTAGGACAATTATTGAAACATGAAACAAAAAACATAGTTAAAAAACAATCAAATAACACTATGAGCATAACCATCTTCAAAAGGATCATAATCCGGATCATCACTTCTATTGCTTGGTTCGGCCATGAGAGTGTGGTTATAACCACTATAGCTTGGAATAAGGCCTGATGAGCTTGACCCAGATTTACTTATATTTCTGTCTGGGGCAGGAGTGTAAATTAGGATTTTTGTTGGGCTTACATCCCCACAAGGTTGGCTTGAAGAAGCTTTGGGGTTTGGGCTCTTTCTTTTGCAGTTTGAGAATGAGTTCTGGGCCTTTTTGCAACATGGAAATGGGCTTTTGGGCTAGGTTGTTTGGAAGATTTATAGCTTGGAGTTTGGCTAAGAGAACGGTAATGCTTGCTCCTACCAAGAGGTGGTATGGACTCATCACTAGATTCCACATACTCATGTCTCTTCTTTGGGTATGAAAAAGGTACTTGGGCATTTAAGAAGTACATTTGGTCATTAGGTCCAAAGGTTCGATCTTTTGGGATCGTGGGAATTTTCACATTATTCCTTCTAGGTTCATACTTGCGCTCCACATAGTGCAAGTCCCTCTTAAGGCTAGACATGGTTGCCAACCATTTCCCTTCATGATGATGCTTCTCATTCCACATTCCGTCTTCCTTAATAACATCCCCATATTTGTCAAATAGAGGTTGGTATTTCTTAATCCTAGGTAAATGGGCCAAAGCCAAAAGGACCATCAAAGGTTGTTGGGTCAAGACTTCCTCACCATCCTTCTCATAAAGGGTCAAGGCCAAAGTAAAAATTCCAGTCATGAACTCACTAACTGAGACTCCACTATCTCTCAAGTAATGAATGTCAAAATATAGATGTCTCATTTGATCAATCTTTTCCATCTGTTTCACACGCACATGCAAAACAATTAATTAAATGCCAAATCACACAAACAATCCAATTCGAAATCCATTTGCAATAAGCAATTCATAACTTAATAAACCAAGTTTAACTCAAAATGAACCAACCATGGGTAATACTCCAAAATTTCGGACCCCCTATACTCACTTCAACGTGTTTTAGCACCAAATTTAATGCACACTTAATCGCATACTCAAGTTTTAAATAATTTCCATTCTTTTTATTTTCTAAGTAATAAATATGTAATTGAATCAAGATTAAAAGACGGTCAAGCCCGCGTCTCCCAGGAAAGTTACCTACGACGTTGAGGCGAGCATTTCCTAGACAGAGAGTCGTACCCATTATAGGCCTCCGTAGAGAACTCAAGAATCCTTTTCTCCTTCATCTTTCCACAAATAAGAAAATAGTTGTTTTTTAAAAGTAAAAATAAGGCTTTTGACTCACACACAAATGCGAAACTCTATCTATCCTATATGCCCTCTTAAGTCTACCCACAATTTTAATTACTATTCCAATTTTAATCTTTTTAGGACCTTGAAATCTGATACCACTTTGTGAAAATCTGATACCACTTTGTAACACCCCCAAATCTCCCTCTACGGAAATACCAGTATAGTATGTATAATTATGCTGTAGAGATAGACTTAGGCGTATTACCGCCGCGTGATTACGCAAGGCTACTCAACTTACTAAACAAAACAATACTTTACAGCGAAAACTTCAAAACTCTTCTTATTAATAATAACTATAAATAGAAACCAATGTCATGAGTACTCAAACTAAATACAAAGACCAAGATTCCTAAATTAGTGAAACCAAATCCCGAGACTCCAATGCATCACTTTATTCACTTCACCTGAAATAACACTGCTTACCATTACGGTAAACAGGGCAAACCAAAGCAAATAAGAAGTACGGGTTAGCAAAATATGCTAAGTACGGTAAGTGCAAGATAATTAAACTCAATTTATTTGCAAACATGCTTTTAAAACCAATTTCCAATAATTCTAAACTCATGGTTTAAAACCAATTCTCAATATTCTAATAACCAATAAAACCAATGCCAATTATTTAAAACCATTTCCTTATATTAAAACCTAGTTCCTCATAATAAACCAATTAAACCAATTCCTCTCCTAAGTGTGCACACCCCAAAGCTAGTCTCCTTATGTTACAAGGCTATTCTTGAGGAATGACCCGGTCATACAAAGTCCAAGGCCTTATCAATAAACCAAATCCGCATAGTGGGATTAGAAACATGCTTATAAAGCATAATAATAAATCAATTATTCAATAAATCCTCTTTTAAATCCAATAATTCAACCTTTAATGAAAACAATCCAAACTCCTTTTCAATAAATCCAACTTGCTTTCAAAATCAATCCTTTTTAAACATGAATAATAAATTAATTAATCAAAACATGTTATAAAAATCAATACTCCAATTCAATTATTAAAACCAACCTTTTAAACATACTTTTATTTCATAAACCATAATTCAAGTCAATTTAATTCAAGCAACATAAATCATTCAAACATTTTCATTCATCAAATCGATCACTTTCAAGGTATATAGCCACCTAACGTACCTTGATCCTTGCTTAGCCAAAAATTACTTCAAAAGAATTCTCAAGTAGCTTGATAAAAAACACTACAAATATATATAACCTTAATTAATATAAGGTTATCAAATAATCACAAACAATTAAATTAAATCCCAACTATATGTACATGAACCTTTTAAATTAATTCCACATAACATCATTAAAATCCGATTTTATATAATTAAAACTTCTCATAATAATTTTATATTAATCTCCCATAATAATAATAATAATTGAATAAGAGAAAAGGAGAAGAAAGATAAGAAACCAAGGAGAAAGAAGAATTGGATTTTCGTTGGAAAAAGTAGGCAGAACTTGCGGAGGCTATAACTCCTTTATTATAACTTCGAATTGGGTGTTTCTTGAGCCTAACCTCAAGGATGTTTTGAGAGGAACAATTTTCCGTGACACGTCAATACCCCAAAACTGAGCAGAAGTGCTCGAAATCTGGCTTCAAAGATAAATGAGATAATTTGTGTAAAATTGAGGAGAAGAAAAGAAGAGAATTGGTGTGAAGAATTTGAGAGGTATGAAGGGGTATTTATAGGCTAGCTCATGCAAGAATTATGGTAGGAAAATGTAGGAAGAATTTTGGTAAGTAGGGTTTAAGGGATTACTTGGAGAAGTGAATAAAGATTTAAGGAAAGTTTTAATATTGAAGAGATTGTGTATAATTGAATATGGAAGGTATGTATGTCATGAAAAATAATAAGAAAATTGGAATTACTTGGGGAATAATTAAGAAGAATGAATGGCAAGAAAATATAATGATTGGATATTAAAAAGATGGAGAATTAGAGTTAAGAAAAATAGGAGATTTTAAGGAGATAATTAAAAATACAAATTACCAAAATATTTTTCCCAAAATCTACATGGGATGGCCGAAATTTTTGAGCTTTCCTAAGCTCATATTTTCATCCCTCCTATTTAGTATTTAGGAAATTATTTTGCTAGTCTTAAGGAATTAAAATAATTGTGTAAATAATATTTATTGTATAAAATAATGAAATGATAAAATATCAAATATTCACCAAATAATTTAACTAATAAAATCAGATTTTCACATAGGAAAATCCGAAATTTATAAGTCAAATAAATGGGATTTTCGGACTTATTAAAATAATAATAAAATATAGAATTTGCCTTAATTAAAATATCCAAAATATCTAAATAATCTGATTTTAAAATAGGATAAATGGATAATAAATCTTATCCAAAATAA